GGGAGATGCACTCGTCAATCACATAAAGCAGCTGCAGCTGAACGATCTTCGGATCGCCGACTTCTGCAACAACCATGGATGGCGATGGCGAAAGAACAAAACGAATGGTTTGTTGCTGGGGCTCGCATATGAAATGAGGACGGTGGTAGATTGAGTTTTCGAAAAAGACGATCTCGTCGTAAGGTCAGGCCACTAATAAAGTTACCACCTAACAACCTCGTTAGTAGAAGTATAGCATTATAGGCATAAGTTTTCTTTTGAAGTCTTTGAACGGTTTGATTCCTGCATGGCAGTTCACAGAAGAGTCCTGGCGAGCACCTCAGTATACAACCACAATATCCAACAAATAATCATAACCACCAGCAAGGTTACTCGTAAACTCTCTATACAGACAAGTATAGGGAAGCATGACGTAATACGCTGTGTAAACGTTTTTAGGTTAAACACGCCTCAGTAAGTCCAACATTTTACGCCCATGCTGTCACTAGTAACCAGTCCCCATTAATTTTTAGGCAGTGCAGTCAATGAGAAGCCGAAGAAATTCAGTTTAAACGAATTGCAGATTACCAAAGAAAAACTCACAATGCTTCATCAGGAAGTGGATAGTTCTCTTTCTCCATGCGGTCTCCGATTTTACGAATAACCTTCAATCCAACAGGAATGCGAATGCGCGAAGCCGGACCACGATATCTTAATAGAATCTGTCGTAAAAAATTTATCAACCTCTTTTTATTGAAGGACCCACTTTGAAAACACGTTTGTTGCTAAAAATTCAAATTCCCGTCCTTTAGGTAAATGCAACAGCAACGGAATAATCGAGTAATCATAAAAATAACTAACAATCTTGTCGGCCAAACCTAAATACTTTTCGTCTCTTGTGAAGCTTTCATGAATGTCTATTTTTTGGCCTTATAAGCTGCTCCTATACAATCACACTCCCATCCACCCTCACCCACTCGAACATCCAAATAGCAACAAAACCAGACAACTACACATCCGCGCAAGCGCCCACATAAACGCTCACACCAGCGCGCCGGCACACACAACAATAGCTAAAGTTTGGCCAGAAGTTCGTACGTATTTTCCGATCCAATGCTGCAAGGTCATTCAGCAATTTCCGATTACGTTAAGGTAGGCTGTGGAGGGCACAACGTGTAGTAATTTATAACAGAGCATGCCGATCCCAGTCGCCTTCGTTCGAGTTCAAAGTGAGAGAAAAGAGCCATGTTTTTTCAGCTCTGACTCAAGAGCTTCTACTAAGCCACAAACCGATGGGAACCAGAAGTAGCATTTCCTTTGCGACACATCTACTTGTCGCTGCAGTCCATACGGTATCAGATGGACTGATCTCCTTCGCTCATGAGCCTGCAGCCTGGAGAGAAACCCTGTTCCCTTTTGACCCGTGGCCGCCCCTCAAGGCGCACTTCTTTTCATGTCCCGCCTTTGGTGCCGCACGACCTATCTTCGAGTACCCATGGAGTTTGATTTTCGTGAGCTTGTCTCTTCGCAAATCAAATCCGTGCGTGAAACTTTGTGTGTTGTCCATGGAACCAGTTGACATATACATGTTGGAAAAGAAAGCAAGAATTTCCGGAATGGTTCCCTTCAAAACTTAATAAAAGAGTATGTTCCGTCCATGGTTACCGAGAGCATGAGTTTCGAAAACTGACGCGACTCCAGATATTGAAGCTTACTGAAAAGTTTCGCCGTGCAAGCGTGGTAAACCTACTTTCAAAGAACGTCTGTCTCAGCAATCATCTTGCGGACAAATTGCATAGTTTTCTCAGGCACCTCGAAATCGACCCCACTGCATTTTTCACCTCGTAGC